GGTGGGCACTAATAAACCCTGCTACGGTATCTGAAGTAATAAACATTACAAAACAACAAGCCTTAAGTACATAAAATTGAAATGGCTCGCTGGAGGAAATTTGACGAACACGTAACTACAATATCATACTCCAACGGATATTAAAACAGAGCTGCGTCGTATAATTTCCATGCTCATTATACCTCACTACCCTTCATAATGGTTTAACTTTGTTCTCAATGATGCAGATTTTCTTACATATGTAAAAATGTATGTTTATATTCAAATGACTTTAAGACGTTTGGTATATTTGAGTATAATTGTATTCATTTTTACGTGGTAAAGCCATGCTGCAGCTGTATACACTCTCACAAAATACCAGCGTAATTTATTGCCCAAAGACGAACATCCAGACCCGGAACAATTATTTATAGGTCAACAATTATTTATAGGTAGGTATAATTATTAATACTTGTTCCGTGCGGGATTCGAACCCGCGGCCCCCAGCGCAGCAACTCATTGGTAAGCTACTGCGCCACGGAGCCGCATAATGCTGCTGTGTTTTGTATAGTAAGTGTAAAGAACCGGAGACGCTTTTTACTTGTAACGAGGTATTTCATCTTAGCCTCCAGGAGTGACAACGCATCTACATTTTCCTTAATCGAGGATAGACGTAGGTGTCTATGGGCAAAAACATATTCTTACCGTCAAGTGAGTTGTGTGCTAGTTTATTTTTATTGCGAAAAATATTAATTTCATTTAAATGTTCTGAATAAATATGCCAGTAAAATAGTGTTCTCGTCCATCCAGTCAAGGTCATTCAGGCTAGTTAAAGCCTTAAAAGTCCAAGGCTGACCATAAGCATTCCTCCATAGATTGCCTAATAGAGGGGATTTTGCCATATTTGTCACACAGCCCTCTTAGAAACCTGAGTCCAGCCATACAGGCCGTAACTTTATTTTCTTCATTAGTATTAGAACACTATTTTTGGCCATGTAGTGGTGCCGTGTAAGACTATCCACTACCTAATTTGAATGTGTGTCGTAAGAAGCGACAGAGGAACAAACAAACAAACAACAAAAGATGGGCAGCAGTCTGCTGCCCATAGCATCATCGTGTTAAAGCTCAAAATAAATGCTATGGTTGCCTAGCGCGGCAACTCCGGAAAATATTCTCACTATGAGGCAATCTATGAGGAGGCCTTTGTTCAGCAATGGAGTTCAAAAGGCTGTAATTATGATGATGATGATGTAATAGTGTAATATAAAGATAATCAGATCAACTATCTTCTCCGTTACAAAATAAGCGTTAATTGATGACAGCAATCAAATACATATAATGACAATGTTAGCAGCTTTAATGCGATTATACGATATTGTCCTTAAATGTAATTAAGCTGAGAGCCCAAATTAGAACAGTAGCACCATTATGTAAGTCTCGTTGCGGAGACATAATTTATTACAGATTTGTGTTTTGATATGTATCATATTAAAATCTAGTGATCTAAATAAATAACAATAAATTAAGCTACTGAAGATTCAAATAAAAAAGAAACTTTCCAATTGTCATTGTTAATATCCAATACCCCCTTATAGTTTAGTGGCTGTTGTAATAGGCGACAGAGGGAAATTTAAACGTGATGTGAGCAATAGCATCTTTCTAATAACAACTCAAAATTATTAAAGACTGTGGTTGCCAATGCAACTGTTAAACGTGGCAACTATCGCAAGATAATTAATATTTTATTGTTTACCAAACGTAAGTAAAAAGTGGCAGCCTCGTACCGGTAAGCGAAATGTAGGGCGGACTAGAAGAAGTGAGCATTGAGGAAGTCGATGGATGCTTGTGGCTTAGAATGCTAGATGACGATGATTACGGAAACATTTTAGCGCAGCCTCTGCCACGAAGTAATACGTTTGTAATCTATTACATAGATTAAATAACTCGAATTCATAATTTTACTACGCATTAAAACAATAAATTTGAAGAAAAACTTGAGTAAATTATCTACATTGTAGATAGCTGTCCCGGCAAACGTACTGCCCTTTTCAGTGAGTGCGCGATGAATTTGATTTCGTAATTACATTTAGTGTCTTGCTTGAGATTGAGAAATTGTAAATTAGATGTTACTTTGATTGATGAATTTCTGAAGCAGGAAAATGCAAAAAATAAAAATGCGCTGAATAATCTGCATTTACTCTGGCTTAGTCTGCATCCACTCCGTAAATTTATATAAAATTTATTAATAACTCAATCACAATGCCACCTATCGGATCTAGATTTTGTGGTTTTAGTTTTTGGTACTAAATATTCTCACTAAGTAAAGAATTTGTTAATTACTCGACTGCAGCATAACGAAATTGATCGTAGCATAGCCATAACTCCAGTTTCTTGAGAAAACAAACATATATTGTATAAATATGACTTCAATAGGTCAAGTCACGAAGTTACATGATCACTCCACATTTATCACGTTAACTATTGTTGTTTTAATATATCCATATATTTTATACTTATATATAAATATAATTAAAATATTTGTCTATAATATCAAAAAAATTGGCTTCAATTAAACTCAGGGGCTATTTGGAAGCTATATTAAATTAACAACCATTTTTATACATTTTTCATGTCTGTTTTTTTTGAGATACGATGACGATAATTTGATTAAATATATGGTCTCCGGTAATATTACATCTAAATAACGCCATCCTTTCCAGACGAAGCCGGGGCGGGTCAGTAGTAATTTTATAATTACATATTATATCAAATATATATATATATATATATATATATATATATATATATATATATATATATATATATATATATATATATATGTATATTACATATACAATTTAATCACAATTTTAGAAGCTTTGCAAATGTTTCCGATGAACGTGAAGTTCCAATTATTATTAGCGCTATTGATTAAGTCCAAAAAGATATCCAGTTCAAGGATGTATTACTAATGAACAAACCATTTCCTATTCATATAATTATATTATATTCTGATGATTTCTATACTTTCCACACTAAATTTGATTTTATTGTTAAGCTGCTCAAAGGATAGTGTCCTCCAGACCGAGTTTCGGTCACGGCCGGCAGCCTCAACGAAAACTCAATAACTGATATTTTTGGCCCGACCCGGGTTCGAACCCAGGACTATATAATCAGCAGTCGCACTACTGCAACCGCTAAATCAACGAGGCAGCCAAAGGATACACGTTGACAAAAGAAACGATTGTTACGAAAATGAAGTTTTAATTTGAACGTCACCCAGAAGTCAGTTAACTTGACATTTACTTTGTAATATTTTTTTAAACAACATGACCGATCTCTTATTATCGTTGCCTATTTCTTTTTACATTACTTTGTACGACTGATATGAGTCTATCTCGTGATTCGGAGACGTAATTGCGCTTTGCAGGCAAAAAGTTCTAATTTTCTTCACGGATTTACGCTTAAATGACAACATAACAGAAAGCAAAATGTTAAAGGCTGCCATGTATACTGTAATCACATCTTAAATAGAAACGGTGTTTAATCATTTTTTGCCATAAATATTTATAAAACATCGTTTACTCTCTAGAAGAGTTTTTCAAATGAAATTTAAACAAGATTTGGTGAATAAAATTAGAGAAATACAAATATAACTATAATACACTTAATTAGTTGCTTTATCGGTATATTAATCTTTATTTTTAAAATTTATTTTGCACTTTCATTTTCAAATTTACATAATGATCTTACTACCAGTTATATTTTAGCTACCTGTTCTAAAAATTCAAGCCCGATAACTATTTTTTTTTTCAATTATATTACAGTGAAAGTTTAGTCAACAGTCTCCGATATGACGTACTACCTACCGCCTCCAAATAACTTCAAAAAAATAAGACTAGTTTATATAAGGCCCTTTTTACTGGAAATGAGGCATTCCATCTTAGTCCTCACGGGTGACAACGCATCTACATTTTGATTTGTAACAGAGGATAGATATGTCTATGGGCCGCAGTAACCACTTACCATCAGGTGGACTGTGTGCTCGTTTGTAACCCTTATCCTATAAAAAAAAAAATAATACTAGCAGCCCGCACCGGCTTTGCCCAGGTTGAACAATTATAATATACATACATAAACACTCAGGCCTGTCACCCAGAGGGGTAGGCAGAGATTATGGACTTCCATTTGGCACGATCCTGACACATCTCTCTCGCTTCCTCCATATCCATATACCTACGCATACACGCTCGTCGGTTAAAGGTACTCTTGATTTGGCCCATTTTTAATATATCGCCAATTTGGTCGAAAAACTTTCGCCTAGGGCGACCCTTCCCGACTATGCCGTTCACCTCTGCAACATAAATTTGCTTTGTCACTCTTTCCTCATTCATTCTTTCTACATGGCCAAACCTCCGAAGCATTCCTTTCTTAATCCTGGTCACATCATCATCTTGCAAACCACACTCTTCTCTTATTAAACAATTTCTCACTCCGTCATTCAGATTCATCCCTAACATACTCCTTAATGACCGCATTTCTACAGCATTTATTCTACTCTCGTGCTTCTTCTGCCACACCCAACTATCATACATTAAAGTAGGTACTAACACAGCATTGTGAATTGCCATACGTGCCTTTTTGGACACATTCTGACTTTTCACAATAGAGTGTAGAGCCCCATTCACTCTATTTCCTGCATTCACTCGTCGTTCTATATCCTTATCATATCTACCATCCCTGCTAAACACACATCCCAAATATACAAACTCATCTACTTGCTCTACCAACTCCCCTTCTATTCTTATTTCACATATCGTTTTACTTTCTTCTCTTTCAAAAACCATAACTTTCGTCTTACTTGCATTCACTTTCATTCCCTTTTCTTTTAATGTCCTGTTCATTAATGTAACCATCATTTGCAACTCGGCTGCCGACGACGCAAGTATGACTTGATCATCGGCGTACAAAAGGCATTTGACGGTTAACTCACCCATTCTTAACCCGCATTCTTCTTCTTTCAAATTTTCCAAACAACTGTCCATAAATAGGTTGAACAACCACGGGGAAGCCACACAGCCCTGTCTGACACCTTTATCGATGCCAAACCAGTCCGAGTTGTTGATCCTGACACAAGCACTAGAGTCCCTATATAGAGACTTCAATGCCTGTATCAGACCAGCGCTCAACCCAAATGAGTTCAGTGTTTGCCATAACATATCCCTGTTCACTTTGTCATAAGCCTTCTCCAAGTCCATGAACGCACAAAAAACTTTTTGGTTTTTGGCCAAAAACTTCTCCGCGATCATGCGCATGGAAAAGACCTGATCCGTACATCCCATTCCCTTTCTAAATCCCACTTGTACATCCCAAATTTTTCCATCAGTTTCTTTCATAACTCTTTCAATTAGTACCTTAGCATACAGTTTTCCCACAATGCTAAGAAGGCTGATACCACGGTAGTTTTTACAGTCCTGCTGTGATCCTTTTGCCTTATATATTGGGACTATCACGGCTTTGCACCAGTCTCCCGGTACCCGCTTAAGTTCCCAACATAAATTAAACAAGGTGTACAGCAGGTCTGCCACCACTCCTTCTCCAGCCCTTAGCATTTCGAGAGATACTCTATCATAACCGGCTGCCTTACCTGCTTTCATACTTTTCATTGCTTTCATTATTTCATCTATACTTATATCTCTATCTATTTCCTCTTCTTTCGGAATTTCTATTTCATTTAATTCAAACGTCTCATCACTCATAAACACGCTTTCAAAGTATTCCTTCCATCTTCTTAAACTCAAAACTTCGTCATTCAGAATACAGCCATTCTGGTCTCGTATAGCATTCATTCTAGGCTGTTTTGAATGTCCCCTGGTAGTTCTTACGAGTTTCCATTTTTTATATTACATAGGTATAATATACATCAGATTTAGTTTAGTAGATATAACTTATCTTAAAACTACTTTATACAACACTTATATTCCATTTTTCTGCGTCTTTAATATAACGACTTTTTCTCGACTCCACATTTCCCGAACTAGAGAGACGTGGTAGAGCCATGCTGCAGCTATATTTCTGATATAGTTGTAACACGAATGGGTCGGCTCGACCGGGGAAGGACCACGCTCTCACAGAGTACCAGCGTAAAATAGCAGCTTAATATTGCTGTGTTTCGTATGGTGAGTGTAGAGAACCGGAGACCCTTTTTACTGGAAACGAGGCATTCCATCTTAGTCTACATCAAAGACAACGCATCTGCATTTTGATTCGTAATCGAGGATAAATGTAGATGCCTATGGGTTTCAGCAACCACTTACCATCAGGTGGACTGTGTGCTCGTCTGTCACCCTTATCCTATAAAAAAGAAACCAATATATCTTCCCTTAAGTCAAGTCCAACATATTTGTATGTATGGTCTTCAGATTTATTGATGAAATTTTTTATTGAAAAGTGTAATCCCTTAAATTAGAAAGGTATATCTGCAGGGAAGTTGGAAATGCTGGGAATATGAGCCAACTGACCTGCTGCTGGTCCTGTAAGAATGGTACTTTCAAACACATTATTACGTAGCAATTTTACTTGAAGTCTAGTTCCATTGCATAGATCAAGTGGATTCAGGTTTCGCAATAAAGTTATTGGAATAATGACTTTAATTTATAGAGTATGAGGGGGAAGTACTGAAGGGTTAAGGGAGTTAAGGAATTCCTATAAGTAATACACAACGTCTTTTGTATAATAAAAAAGGATTTATAACTTACGATAAAGTTAATACTTTTCGGAGTTGTGAATTATTAAAAGTTTGAAAAATCCCGAATTCGGATACATTTGACTTGAAAATATATTAAGAAAAAGAATAAAATATGAAAGATTTTATATATTTTTATATTCTTCAGGCTTTTAAACAATACCTAGTTAATAATTTCCTCAAGCGAGAATAGAAAAAATATTTTTTTATACATTTCTTTAGGTATAAAACGAATCGCATGAAAAAATTGAAGTGGAATAGTTTTCGGTACTCGTGCGCCGATTCCTCCTGGACTAAGTGGTTGATTTATTTTTCACGTGTCTGCCCGTTCGGGTTGCTCACTTTGACACGTTATATGGCCCTTTGCATACCGCACCTCCTCCCGTCATTGCCGTGCCGTGCGAGAGTATTTATATAAAAAAGGTTATTGTGAGTAATCCTTAAAAGGTAGACATATGTTGTCGCGGACTTTCTTTTAGAGCTTTTCAAGAGACCTATTGACGCAGCTCACGCGATGAAAGCTCACAAGAGGCACGACTTTTTCCGGTTGATTTGACAAATATCATCATAAATTTTAGCCTTAATATAAAATATACACATAATATATAGCCTATGACCATCTGGAATAATATACCTTTCCAATGGTGTAAGAAAATTTCAAATAGGTGCAGTGGTTCCGGAGATTACCCTCCACATATATACAAACTCACAAAATGCGCATTCTCTCTTTATATTATTATTATACGCTTTCACTTGTCATCCTAGAAGAAGATTAATTGCTTTATAGCCATAACATAACAGTGGATTCACTACTGATTAGCAACAGAAATAGATCTTACTAACCTGACAAATTCCCTGACGGAAAAGGAGTTAAAGAAATTATTTAAAAAAAGAATGAGATGCATATGACAGTAAAACTATATGAAATACTCAATAATTTTATAATTATTTTCTTTTCAATAAACAAAATAACAACAAACCGCTAGTGTTCAAGCATACAAATATTTATATTACATTCTTTTGTTACACTATTGGTAAAACAAATATTTATACAACGGGAATAGTAGGTTAAGTTCTCTTATTGTTTTTATTGGCTTACACCAAAGCCTTATAAATTGTAAATAGGCCGCCATATACAATTCCTTTTTATGTATTAATAGGCGCTCATGGAAATCAGTTCATAGGCATTTATATTATTATTCGAGAAACGTTTTAGTGAAATCGTACGGAACATTCTCTACTAAATATTTTTATAGTGGTCGGTTGACTTCTTGACCTTGACTTATAAGACGCAGGTGCACGAAGATCCGCTTGTATGTAAATTCCATTAGTTATGGTATTTCACTTTCCTATTCAAATTTTAATGAACTATTGTCATGGTAGTGTAATTAAGCAAGACATGATGTTTGCAAGGTAATTTGGATATAAAAATATTTCGTTTAATTATAAGTATGTAATGTTATAATATTTTATTTTTAGTTTCTTTAAAACTATTACCTTAAAATTATTTGACATCGTGTTTATTGTCATAAAAAAATATAGATTTAAAGTAAGAAACGAAAAACACAATTTAGAATTCTGAATAATTGATGTACTTTTCTTTAGAATTCATTTCAATTTGCATGTGTCTAATAAAACTATGTAGCATGTCTGCTACTAATAAAAACTACGTTAATAACTAGCAAGAATTGATATAAATTTATTAAAATATTGTATGGGTACATTATTTCTACGTAATAATTTTCACTAATATTTTTAAGTAAATACTTTCGTTATTAAAAATTTTCAGTTACTGTTTTAATATTGTAAAGATGAAAAATCAGACTCAACTCAACAAAAAAACTCAAAAAATAAGTACTCAGAAATAAAGATATATATCCCACCTTATATATGCCATCCACAAGTTTTGTAAGCTCTTCGGTCTCCATGGTGACAGATTTTTCAGTAAACAATTAGCGAGAACCGTCAACAGTTACACTTGAATCTTCATCGGAAAACAATATAACTCACAATTGAAATTAGATTTTAACACTTTAAACACTAAATTCACATTTCACACCTTTGACTGTCACGATATTTTCCACTCAGGTGAACAAATTCAGTTTCAAGGACATCTGAAACAAAAGAAATGATTTTATAAGTAAAAGTATGCCATTCGTATTTAAATTGAAATTTTCTCAATTAACTGCAATTGAATGCAAAGTTAGAACAGAACAACTACCCAAAATTATGGAGGCGTGCGACCGGAGCAAAGTGTACGTGTAGAGTCGCCTATCGCCGCGACTGGAGTAGATATCACGAGTGTCGATGTTTTGAAATACAGAGTGAGCGAGACTTTGAGACGTTGATGTCTAAACCACGAAGTGTTTACTGTTAGACTCTTAATTGTTTAGATAGGCAGGAATTCGGTGTGGATGTTTTGCAAGCCTTAAAGCTGATGGCCTGCTTTTTGATATAAATTATTAAATTCCATGCTATTGCCTAAATCAAAGCAGACTTTCTCCATTTATTGCTTAGATATTCCTCGTTCGTATTCATTAGAATTTCTTGCCGGTTCTTCTCTGGGAAGGTCATGTTCTCCGAATCAGTGCAAATTTAGATGTTTATAAAAGCTTTAAACAAGCCTTTATTTAATAAAAACTTTTGTAAAATCAAAACATCTTTTTAAAAACCAGTAGAATTCGACGCTACGGACTCAAAACGTGATTATTTATTAAAAAGTAAGTAGTATGTAGTTGGCCAAAAAGTTCGATTGCAAGTGTCTGCGCCCATAAAATTTAATAGTCACCAATTTTCAATGCAGATTTTACATATGCTTTAAAGTGAAGGAAAACATCGTTAGGAAACCTAAGTCACCTGAGTGAGTGAGTAGATGAGATTTTTTAAGCCACTACTCTCTTATACGTAAAAGAACGTCTATGCACATACTGGGACGTCTATAGGCTTCTATTTGTGTTTATTAATACATGGTTAAATTTAGCCTACTTGCATATTGATTAAAACTTTTTGCACTCGCCAAACTTAGAGGTTGGTTTGCCAAATACATTTAAACTTAGACACATCTCTCATTACTGGACTGAACAATTTTGTCTAGGAATTTTGTAGGAACACATCCCATTTTTTATTCGGTTATTGACGCATAATGTACAGCCGCATCATGTAGTGGCATGATAAAATTATCTAGCAACTTATGTCAGATGTCATCAAATCGTATAGTCATCATGATAAAATTAAGATTTTATGGCTCCCGATAGATGATGGTAAGTACTATTTAGTATATATATTTTTTTTAATAAAAATGTTGCCTCCACACTTTCTATTGTATTGTGGGGTCAGTTTGTATACATAAATTTCACAAGGACAGACATCCAGACCCGGAACAATTATTTGTAAGCTATACAAATACTTGCTCGGTGCGGGATTCGAACCCACGACCGCTGTAACTCATTGCTTAGCCACTTCGCCACGGAGCCATCATACTAAAAGTAAAATATCGAATTATTTATAAAATTGATTATACCTATTTTTGATATACCTAGGCTTTTAACTTCGTAAACTAAAACATTAAAAATTGGTTACAAAATATTTTAAATGTCGCTAGCACGATTGTCATTACTTTATATACCGCCCATTAATGTTGCGAGAGTTACCTACGCCTAACCAATACAAACAATAGACGGATATAGCAACATTCACTTTCGTTTTTGACAACTACCTACTAACGTAAGTCGTCATTTAAATAAACGTTTCTAAAGATTTAGGCTAATTCTAAATTCCACTCTCGATGATTATCACATAAATAAAAATCATCAGTATATTATATGCGAATTAATTATTAAAGTCGTTGTCAAAACAACTAAGTAAGTATATGAGCGATGTTGGTGTTAATTTGCATACTTGTGCAAGAGATGCACTTGGTTGGGTTTAATCGTATGCATAACCCGCCTCGACTCGTAAGTTGGCTTAATAATGATAACAACTGCTAACTATAAAACAACTTCGCAATGGAATAGACATACAATGATTTAAATCATGTTTTCCTTTTACTTAACGTACATAAGTATTAAATTCCATTTAAAGTTAAGTTAGTTAAAGTTACAGCCTATATACGTCCCACATGGACACAGGCCTCCTCTCATTTTTGAGAGAATTTTAGGGCAAGGAAATGTCCGCCGCGCTGCCACAATGCGTGTTGGCGAACTTCACATGTCTTCGTAATATTTTTTTTCTTATTTGTCAGACATGTAGGTCTCCTCACGATGTTTTCCTTCACCGCCGAGCACATGGTAAATCAGCACTTAAAATTGCAATTAACAATTTCATTGGTGGCGGCGGGGATCGAACCCGGGTTTCTCGCGTACTGTGAAATTTACAGCGAGCGCTGACCATCTGAGCTTCCACGGCTCTTTCGTTTTATTTTAAAGTAATAAATTCCATTTATTACTTTAAAATAAAACGCAAATAACCGCAGACTGAGGTAGTTCCAAACTGAAAATTTAATTTAGTGTTCGCGAATAAAGAAAGAAATTTTATTCTTTCAATGTAGCGTACGAATGGGTTCCACGCCGGTAAAAAATTGCTTGGGAGTCGTTTCGAAGTTTTTTCTCGCATCACATGGGCTGAGAAATATAAAACACGGATTTGGAATGGATCTGTAACTTCATTTTGAACAAGAGAGATTTGCGCCGTAATCCCACTCCCCGACCTTGCATATGCACCCGCACGGGACAATGGGAAGCGAGTTTCCTACGTTTCTTTCTTTTCCCTGAGGCTTATGGAAACAAGTGTGCAAACGCTGCTTATTTCTGTTGGAACTTGTTTAGTTGGAATGAACTTGTAGTATCCGCATTTGAATATTCTGTGTTTGTAAGTGATGAAACAGTAACATATACCCACTGTTGAAAAATCAGAAAGACATTTTTCTTATACTGCTATTAGATTTGAATACATATCCGATTTTGTTCTTAATTCCTATGTAGTTGCTATTCTGAAAATCTGTACTCGGGCTTATTTTAAGACATTATAGGATTATGAAGTTCGTCTCGTGTGCCAAGAGTTACGGTAGCGTAAAATCACAGCGAACCGTACGTGTTAGCACGGAACAGTGTTGCATTCGACTATGGTCTCGCAATTCTGCTGACGAACCTTGTTATCGTGAATATAATATATTACGGAACTGGAAACTGCGGCTGAATATTCATATTCGTATTCTTGTCTCTTGAGATAAATCGTATCTGTATCGAAGATTCTTTTATCTTTAAACGCTTTAGTAATATATAAAGACGTTATAGTATTATATCATTTGTTGTATTGCATTATATACAAATCTCATATAATGAAGTCTGGTTTTTAAAATGATAATTTTTTATGTAGCACTTGAATGTAGGAGTCTTAGTGCTCATTTGTCAAATTTGCTTGTATAAAAAATGTAAAAAAAAACTATATAATATTTACGTTAGCCATTTATAAGTAGTAGAGCCACGCTGCAGCTATATTAGTTGTAGCACGAACGGGTTGCCTCGACCGGGGTAGGACCACGATCTCACAGAATACCAGCGTAAAATAGCAGCCTAAGGTTGCTGTGTTTTGTATGGTGAGTGTAGAGAACCGGACACCCTTTTTACTGGAAACGAAGTAATCCATCTTAGTCCTCAGGGGTGACAACGCATCTCCATTTTTATTCTTAATCGAGGATATATGTAGATATCTATAGGCCACAGTTATTTTATAAAAAAATACATTTTACGCTTGCATCTATGCCTATATTTGTTGGGAACACTACGGTTGAAGTTGTTAACGAATTTGTTTACTTAGAATAAATTATTATCTGATACTATTCGACGGATACAACTTAGCTGGATAGGGTTAAGGAGATACTTGTAACAATATATGAAAAATCTTCTACCTATATGCATATTATAAAAATTTAAAAACAATAGAGTACAACAAGTGCGTGTTGCCAGTGACATATGGATATGAGACATGGTATTTCACTGTTGGCCGTATCAAGAATCTCAATGTCACTCAGCGAGCTATGGAAAGCACTATTCTCGGAAATCATCTGCGTTATAAACTTTATAATGAGTTTATTCGCAGTAGAACCATATTAACCGACCGTCCAACTGATCAGTAAGCTGAAGTGGCAATGGTTCGATCTTATAGTTCGAAAAACCGACAACCGATGAGGGAGAAAGGTTTTCGAGTCGCAGTTTCGTACCAGTAATCGAATAGTAGGGCGGTCTCCTACTATGTAGATGCAAGTGACGAAATCATTAGATGCAGGTGGCTCAGGGTCGTGCTTTGTGGCATTCCTTGGGAAGGAGCCTTTATTTAGCAGTGGATTTGTAATGGGCTGTAATGATTAGGATGATAATACTCCAAGCTTAAAATACTTGTGTTAAAAGAGGTTCACGTCAATAGTCAAATGACAGAATCGAACGAAGATTTTTTTAAAGTTTTGCCTTTATTATTGGCTTAATGTCGCTTGTAGATAAACATACTTTTTTTAAATTAGCCATGAAAAATGTTAGCGGTTTAAACGACGCGCGAATCTGTAGCAACTATAATAATGACACCATACAAAATACATGTATGATATATCATAACATATTATGTAATAATTGATATCAGTCATCTGTCATGTGCACATGTGGACTTATCAGTAATGAGATTCTGAAAGGCCCCTGGGAAATTTTCATAATGTGCTTGTGTATAATCCGTCCGGAGTGGCAGAAGTTTGTTTCAATTATTCAAAAGTCTACAGTTTTTTCCGTATCGTTTTAAGCAAAAAGGTATTTAGTAAAATTAGCGAAAGTTAAAGTTAATTAAGTCTCATTGTCTACATTTAATAAAGTTTTTTTTTATAATCTTTATGAAATTTGTCTTAGATATAGATTTTTTTTTAAATAGAATAAGGGTAACAAACGAGCATCAGTGTACTTGATGGTAAGTGCATGTTGTAACAAATGGAATATAAATCTACATTTATCTTCGATTAAGAATCAAAACGAAAATGAGTTGTCACATCTCATAACTAAGATGGAATCCTTTGTTTCCAGTAAAAAGATCTCTGATTCTTTACACACACCATACAAAACACAGCAGCATGAAGCTGCTATTTCACGCTGATATTCTGTAAGAGCGTGGTCCTTCCCCGGTCTAGTTGACTCATTCGTGTAGCAACCATAATAATGTTGCAGCATGACACTACCACATAGATAAGATAGAACTTTGAAAATTATTGTTTGTTACTATTCCCCATGAGCCGTGGTAGCTCAGGGACTTAGCGCT